CCCTCTCTCTCTCTCTCTCTCTCTCTCTCTCTCTCCCCCCTTCTATCTCCTCTCTCTCTATGGTGATGTGCTGGAGGACTCCCTCTCTCCCCTTTCACCTCCTCTCTCTCTATGGTGATGACAATTTTCTGCAGTAATTTTAAAAAATTACTAGGCTTTATGACAAAAAGCCAAAAATAGGCTTCATGACAGCTTGTTCATAAACAGGGGTTGTTCATAACTCAGACGTTCATTACTCAGAAACTGCCAGTATTTACTATGCTTGTACAATCTGTTTACAACACAGCACAAAGGTTAAAACAAAAGATGAAATCAAGACCAATTTAGCAGCAAAGAATAAAACTATTTCAGTGCCATGAAGCCACATTAAAACCACTGAACACTGAACGCATCGGAACAGTTCTGAAAATGCCTGGGAGAATACAGAGATCTTCACCTGGGGCCGGAGAGACCACCATGTGGCGGCCAAGTAGGCCTCACGGAGGAGAGCACTTCACAGGCAAAGGACCATTGCTGAAAAGTCCAGGCCTACTGGTATTATATGACCACGTGGGCCTCGGAAGATTTAAATCTTTGCAAAGGGATGTTGCAGCCTCCTTTAACGGGTGGCATTCACAGAAGCAAAGGGAAACAGGAAGATTCTTTCAGGCCTGAGAAGAGGTGTTGGGAAAAGAGGCTCCCAGGGTGAGGAGGAGGAAACAACTCACTGATTATTTGTCCTACCTGATCTGTCCTCACAGAACCTGCACTGTGCAAACCTGTTTCTTGCATCCTCCGTCCATCTCCTGGGAGGGAAAAGCAAGAGAAGGAAGGTTCTTTAAAGGAAGGTTCCCCACGTTTCTGCTTCAAGTCAGAGCATTGTTGCAAAATGTCCCCCATTCCTGTGCGACAGGGGAGCATCGACAGACCAAGTGTTAGAAGATGGCAGAAGCAGACAGAAATGGAAGAAAAGTATCCAAAGGGGCCCCGATGCACCACTGAATGTTACTGAGCAGGGATAGTGATAACTGGGTCTTTTTCTGCTTTTTTCTTATATGTGTATTTCTCCAAAGTTTAGAATTTTCACAGAGAAATTAACAAGATGGTCAACTGTATTATTAGCTGCCCAGAGAGTCATCTCACTTAATGGACAGGGTAGAAATTAAATAAACAAACCCTATGACATTTCAGTCAGTTCGATTCCAACAAAGGAGTTTCAGTAGAAGCATTTGGACTAATACGCTGCTCCTTTTGACTGAACTTTTCACTGGCCTAAAACTTCCCCCGGGGAAGACGAGATCTTCCCAGCTGAATTCAGGAAAGGAACACAGTGTGGTTCTGATAAGGAGATCTGCAGAAGAAAGAATAAGTTTCATGCTCTTTCCACCAAGAGGAAAGGAAGCAACAGGTGGGTGGGTGAGGGGGGGGAGGGGGGGGAGAAAGAGAGAGAGAGAGAGAGAGAGAGAGAGAGAGAGAATATATGAATCAATTCCTGTCCCCTCTTTGGCGTTTTCTAATTTTCTTAAAACTTTAAGAAATTCTTAAAACTGTTGGAACAAAACCTTTGCTGGAGACAATCACCTGTTCCAGGTGTGCTTAGGAGAAACATAAAAGCCTCTGGCATAGTTTAGGAGTGCTGGAAAGACGGAGATGGAGCAAAAATGCTTCTCTACTCCTTACCCGGTGAGGAAGCCCAGTTGTCACCCTCCTGCATGAACTGCCCAGATGCTGGGCTTCGCCTGGTTTCTGATGGAGCCGTCTCTGCCAAAACAGCCTCTCTGGCAAACTGGCCCTGCAGCAGAAAGAGCGGCAGAGGACACAGAGGATGGGGGTTAGAAAAGGAATTTTGCAGGACAAGGGAAGGGTAGGGCTGGGCTGACCACCCACACGATTCCCAGAAGCAAGAGGGCAAAGGTTGGGGTGCGTAACACAGCACTGGAAATGTTCCTGCTCCTTTGGAACTACAAGGAAATGCTCTCACCACTGGCTCTTCCTGCTTCTTGTCTGCTGCCTGACTTAGGAGGAAGCCTTCGGCCAGGGCCACCGCCTGGGAACTGGTCTCTGCACCACATTCCCTCACCCAGCTCTCCACCTCCGGGGGAAGGACAGCCAGGAACTGCTCTAAGATCACCAGGTCCAGGATTTGGGACTTCGTGTGTTGCTCCGGCTTCAGCCACAGCCGGCAGAGACCATGGAGTCGACTGCAAACCTCTTGGGCCCCTCTGAACTCCTGCTGGCACAAGCCTCTGAAGCGCATCCCGGAGCTGAGGAAGTCTGTCCCCATGGCCTTCTCCATTTGTTTTTCCCAGAATCCTCCACTGCTCCAGGCCACAACGGGAGCGGAGACTTTTCCTGCTTCCAGGACAGCCGGGTCTTTCTCTTCCTTCTTCAGTTCATGCTCCGAGAGAGGCTCCGTGGCAGCAGAAGGATCTCTTTCCTCTTTCACCCGCCTTGGGGAGGCAACTGCCCAGGTCACTGGGGTGGCCAAGTCCTGCCAAGCCAAGAAGATTCTCTGTGAACACGATACTTTGAACACTCCCAATGCAAGACCCTATTTGACGTCAAATTCCAGCTCAGGAATGGCTCCTTTCCCTGTAGAAAAGGCAAACCCCTGGAGATTTAAAAAATAATAATTGAAATGTTTGCATTTTGATTGTTGCAAACTGCCCAGAGAGCTTCAGCTGTGGGGAAGTATAGAAATAAAATAAATAATAAATAATAATAAATGCTCTGTTTTTAGAGTACTTTATTGTATTGCTTTTGTGAACTGTTATAAACTTGTAAACTGTCTAGAGAATTTCAGCTGTAAAAGTATACAAATGAGATAATGATCCATTCTTATATGGTTAAGTGTTTAAGATTATGTTTTTAATGTTTTATATAGTCTTTTATATGGTTTTATTGTCTGTAACCCGACCAGGAAGCCATGGGGCAGACTAAAAATCCAAGAATAAAATAAATGCATAATAAGTAACAATAATAATCAGTTGTAGGGTATTTTATTGTATTGTTTTTAAGAATTGTTGTAAACCGCCCAGAGCTTCAGGTATAGGGTAATATAGAAACAATATTAATATTATTAATAATACTATCTTACTCTGACTATTTCAAGAAAATTTGGAGCCATTTCTGAGGACAGGTATTGGTACCTCACAATTCACCCTTTTTGTGAGTAGATAAATTTGGGGCAAAATCCCATCAAATTTCTCCACAGGGAGGAGAAATTCTCAAATGGTTCTCACAGGCAGGACTCGCCAATGGCAGAGTTTGGCACACAACTTTGTTCTTTCTTCATAAGGAGTTTTCTTTTATTTCTTGTGTTCTCGCCTCAAGTGGCAAGAGTTACTGGTCCAAAATTTGCATCCACCACAATGCAGGTGCAATAGGGCAGTGTGGACTCCAACTCCAGGTAGGAGATAGAACTTATATAGAGCAAAGCCTCTCCTCTAATTGCCTGAAAGTTTTCTACCCCCATGATAAGGGTTCCTCAGGGCATTTGTAATTTATTTTTGTGGTGTTTTGGAATGCCCCTAATAACTTAGGGTACACATCCTTTGGAAGGTAAGCACCAGAACATAAGTCAAAAACCATGAGAATTTCACCACAGTATTCACCACTGCACTAATGTTAATCCCTGAAAATACAAACAGTCTCCTGACATCATCAAGACGAAAAGCTCTCACCTGCTGCCCTTCCTGCTTCTTGTCCTCTGCCTGGCTCAGAAGGAAACCTTCAGCCAGGGCCACTGCCTGGAAACTCGTTTCCGGCCCACACTCTCTGACCCAGTTCTCCATCTCCGAGGGAAGGACAGCCAGGAACTGCTCCAGGATCACCAAGTCCAGCATCTGAGCTTTCGTGTGTCCCTCCGGCTTCAGCCACTGACGGCAGAGTTTGTGGAGGCGGCTGCAAACCTCTCGAGGACCCTTGGCCTCCTGGTAGCACAACTGCCGGAAGTGCCGGTGTTGCACATCAGGGCTGGGGGCGCCCATTTCCCAGATCCTCTGCCCTGTCCTTTCCCAGAATCTTCCAGTGCTCCCAACCTGAATGTAACCAGAGGATGTTCCAATCTTAAGGGCAGCTAAATCCTGTTCTTCCACCTCTGTGCTGTGCTCCAAGGCAGCCTCCCAGAGGACCAAAGGATCGCCTTCCTCCTTGGTCAGATTCTGCATTATGGCAAAGCCAGTAGGAGCCCAGTTCCTACAAAGCCAAGACATTGTTCTGAGTGAGACATTACAGACTAATTTCAGCTCAAGACTGTTATGATTGCTCTTTCCTTTCCATCAGAAGAGAAAAAATATCCAGAGCATGCACAGAGTTCTTTTTAAAACTTTATTGCAATGAAGGGAACAGAAAAGAATGGTTTCCTTCTCATTTTTCCGTTCACCTGAGCACATGTTCACACTCCCACTTTTGAACCCGGCTCCCGGGCTTCTTCCCTCCTCCTTTCCCCTTATTGGTAGGGTACGGAGAGTTTACACTCTTTCCGCCTGCCTACTCCGCGCTGCCCCAACACCGGCCCTTCTTCCCAATCCAGCCCTGCCCCTGATGGGCTACAATAGGCTCATTTTGTTCTGCCCAGCTTGTCAATAAACAATCAGGAAGTATTTGGCCCTCCTGCCTGTTTCCCCGTACCTTGTGCTACCTGATTTTGGCCCCTCCCCTCCTTTGGGCTAAGTAATTTTCTCTGTTACATTTTTAAATCTCTCTGCTCCCTTGTTTCAAAATCATCCTTTTCACACCTATCAAGACCAGTTCTTTCCCTCTAGAAAAGGCAAATCCCAGGACTCAAAAACAGACTGGAGACAAGGACGTATGGGGTGGAGGGATCCCTTTTCTTCCTGGCTACGAAGATTTTAATGCAGCATCCGCCTTGTTGGGCTGTCACTAACATACCAACACCCACACCTGTCTTCGGCTTTCATTCCCCTCCGTTCCCTCCCTCTCCCTTTCTAGCATGTCAATTAGATTGCAAGTTACTTAAAAATCTTTGCACTGTTTAGGTATTCTGTAAATGGTATAGGTATGAATGTGAGAAGAAGAAAAGCTTTCGAAAGGACCAAACTGGTGTTAGGTGCTTGGAATTATGTATTATTATTTCTCAATTCTTTTTACCCTCAATTTCTTTCTTATTATTTCCTACTGGGTGTTCTGAATGTTTCTCACCTATTAATTTATCATAATTTTTATGTACTGCCCCATTTCCATAGACTCTGGACAGTTTATAAGAGATGGTATGAATGACTGCATGTTTCTTTGTTTAAATATCTGTGTGTCAGTCTGGGTAGATTTGGAGGATGACCTCTCTCACTTCCTAGGCTGTCCTGGAAACACCCAGCAAAGAGCATAAAGTAGAGAGATTTTCCACTCCCAGAAGGTGGTGGCAACTGGTGTTAGGGGCATATCAGGAAAACTCTCAATGGGATAACCTTTCCCGATCAGGGCCCTGTGAATGGATCCCTAGGTACATTACAATAACCTTGGCACAGCCATCACTTCCCCTGCTCTACTTCACAGGGTTGTTGTGAAGATAGGCTAAGGGAGGGAGGACCCAAGGCGGAAGATAAAGCCCCTGGAAGTCTTCCTTGCATCGTGGTTGCACTTTTCAATCTCTTCTTTTCACAAGCTCCTAAGGCTGCCTTGGCGTCCCTCCCCAAAGCGCCCCCCTGACGCGCTGGGCTACAACACCCAGCACCCCCCGCCCACGTGGGGATGATGGGAGGTGTGGTCCAGCACATCCAAGGGCTAGGGAAGGCTGGATGTGCGGGAGCCTGGCCGCCTGCCCTCTTTAGGGCATTCCCTCCCGCCCCACACACCCCCGCTCAGCACCCCCGCAGTTCCCGGGGCTCCTGCACCCGAATGCGCAAGGGGAGCGACGGGGCCTCACCTGGCGTGGCGGGGAAATGCACTGGCCGGGCGGCTCGGCAAGGAAGGAGGCCCCGGGCGCGATCCATGGGTCGCGCCACGACCCAGGCCCGGCCTCCACCGCGAGCGGCCTCCGCTCCCTCCACACGCCACTGCACGGCCCGGGCGCCACGGCCCGGCCCCGGCCTCCACTGCGCCCCCCCCCCCGCCACCCAATTCCCTTCCTCTCTAGGAAGCCATTTCCTCTCCTTTTAACCCGTGGAAGCCCGAGCAGCAAAGCTCGCCGCCCCTTTGCACCCCCTCGGGCTTAGCTCCCCGTTCGCGGACGCAGACGCCGCCGCCGGCCCTCGGCTCATCGCGTGCAGCCGCGTTGTCTGGGCAGTGGCGTGCAATTTGCAAAAGGATCCTGTCTGCACCCAGGCTATGCCGCCGAGGTGCAAGCCCTGTGCCCGCCGGGCAAGGTCCCTGAGCCGGGCGCGGGGTGCCAATCAACTCCAGGCGCTCCCAGATGAGTCTGATTCTCCGGATCCGTTTCAGGCCTGGTTTTGGCACGGAAGGAGCCTCGATCGCCCTGTATGGTGACCTACAATGAGAGGCAGGCCGGGGGAGGTGGCCCTGTTGGTACTCCTGGACCTCTCGGTGGCTTTCAGTACCATCAGCCACGGTATCCTTCTGGAGTGGCTGGCTGAGATGGGAATGGGAGCACTGCATTGTGCGGGTTCCACTCCTGTTTGGATGACCCATGTCCAAAGGGTGGTGCTAGGGGAATATGGATTCTCCAGCATGGAGATTCCTCGGGATCTGTTCTGTCCCCCTGGCTGTTCAACATCCACATGAAACCACTGAGCGAGGCCAGCCAGAGATATGGAGTGTTGCCATCAGTATGTTTATATTTATATTGCGATTTATATCCTGCCTTTTTCCTGCAAAGGGCTCAAGGCAGCTTACATTATCTCTCCTCCTCCATCTTATCCCCACAACAACAACAACCCTGTGAGGTAGGTTGGGCTGAGAGTCTGTGACTGGCCCAAAGTCACCCACTTGGCTCCATGGCCGAGCGGGGACTCAAACCCGGATCGCCTGAGTCCCAGTCCCAGGCTCTTAACCACGACACCACACTGGCTCTCAGTTGATGACCCCCAGCTCTGTCTCTCACACACCTTTCCAGGGTCACCAGGTGAGGCTGAGGACGTGCTGAACTGGTGCCTGGCTACAACCATGGCCTGGATGAGGGGCAACAAACCGAAGCTCAGTCAGGGAAGACTGAGATGCTGCTGGGGGTGGTTTCCTTGACTGGATGGCAGGTGCTTGACTGGGCGGGTTTGCAGCTTTGGGGTGCTCTTGGAGCCATCTCTGTCACTCGAGGCTCAAGTGGCATCGGTGGCTCAGTGGAAGAAGGGCTGGGCCATTTTCCAGCTTCAGCTGGTGGCCCAGCTGCACCCCAGCCTGGCCAGGGCTAGCCTGACTTCAGCAATCAATGCTCTGGCCACCTCTAGACTAGACTATTGCAATGCGCTCTATGCGGGGCTGCCCTTGAAGATGGCTGAAAATTGCGGCTGGTGCACAAAGCTACAGCTAGGTTAATAAGCAGGACCCATTGGTCTGAACATATAAGACCCACTTTGGCCCGTTTGCATCAGCTACCTGTATCTTTCCAAGCCCGATTCAAGGTGCTGGTTTTAACCTATACAGCCTTACGTGGCTTGGGACTGCAATCCCTGTTGCAGCACACCACACAATCACAATCTACCTGGACACTCAACCACCCAAACCCTGCCCCAGAGGAGGCTCGGGGGGGGGGGCAAGAAAGGGAAGGGCCTCTTGTGTGGTGGCCCCCCATCTTTGGAAGAACCCTGCTGTGGCCCACCTGGCGCCAATCTCACCGTCTTTTCAGCGCAAGGTCAAGGCAGCCCTTCATGTGAAGATCTCCTTGGTTATCCAGGGACCTGAGAGGATTCTCCGGGTGATTGTTTTCCCTTGTAGGGTCTTTTCACTTCATTTTAAAGCTGTTTAAAATTCATTTTAATATTGTTGTTTTTATAGTATTTGAAGTGCATTTTGTTTTGTTTTATACATTGTTGTAAACCTCCCAGAGAACTTTGGTTATGGGGCTGTAAAAAAATGAAATTAATGATAACGATGACAGGGTTAAGGAAGCTGTTACAGAGTCGGTCTCATAGCCATGGTTCTCCAATTTTCAAGGTAGACTTTGGCTCTGCAAAAGGGTAATTTCTTCTTCACTTCCAGGTCATACTGAGTCAATCCAGTCTTTGATCAAGATGGAAATACCTCCTTCTCCTTCTTTTTCATTTTTTTTATTGCTTGCTGGCTGGACTGACGTTAAGATAAAGACTGTTCTGGCAATTTGATGAGTATGTCTCCCAGATGAAACATCTTGAGCTATTCTTCAAGTCCTCCATCTTGAGTCTCATATTAAAGGTGACTTCTTACTGGCTGTGGATTCTGGTCTAGTGTTTGACATGGAGATGGAAGACCTTGTTAGTCAGCTATGAGCCTATTAGGCATCATCATTACCATGACCAAAAAGTGCCATGGATTTTCCTCTGACAGATCATTGGCCAAGTTGGTCTGCCATTGCTTGCTAGATGCTGTTATAATCCAAAGTAGGTCCAGCTTTATTGAAATGAGCCTTTTCAGAGACCATATTTAGGTCTTCATTGGATCATTCGGTAGTGATCAGTTGGCCTCTGTCACCAAAACACAATGTTAAGTCTCTCCCCTCTGTGCCAGTCTTGTCACATGATATGGGGATTCATGGTTACAGAGTATTTTCCCAGTATTTTGAGAGGTTCTGCACTTTCAAAGTTATTAGGGTGGCGGAACTAAGAACCCGACTGGCTTTCAGGTGATCTTCCCACTGCCTGCTGTGAGACATTTGCTTTCATATGAATTAAGGCGATCTCTCCTCCAATGCTTCTTTCCACATTCTGAGAAATCAAATGAGTTCCCCTTTGTGTGAATTCTCTGATGTGCTGCCAGGCGCCAGCTATGACTGAAGCTCCTTCCACACTCCAAGCATTTAAACGGTTTCTCCTCCGTGTGAATTATTTGGTGCCTCATAAGCTGTGAGCTTTGATTGAAGCTCTTCCCACATTCCAAGCATTTAAAGGGTTTTTCCCCTGTATGAATCCTTCGATGTGCCACAAGACGTGAACTCTGGCTGAAGCTCTTCCCACACTCCAAGCATTTAAAGGGTTTTTCCCCTGTGTGGATTCTTTGGTGTCTCATAAGCTGTGGACTTTGACCAAAGCTCTTCCCACATGCCAAGCATTTAAAGGGTTTCTCCCCTGTATGAATTCTTTGGTGTGCTATAAGATTTGAATTCTGACTGAAGTTCTTACCACATTTCGAGCACTGAAAGGGTTTCTCCCCTGTGTGAATCCTTTGGTGTCTCATAAGCTGCCAGCTTTGACTGAAGCTCTTTCTACACTCCAAGCATTTAAAGGGTTTCTCCCCTGTATGGATTCTTTGGTGTGATGTAAGATTTGAACTCTGACCAAAGCTCTTTCCACGTTCTGAGCATTTAAATGTGTTCTTCTCCCTTGTGTGAATTCTTTGGTGTGCCACAAGATGCAAGCTTTGGCTGAAGCTCTTTCCACATTTGACGCATTTAAATAGCTTCTCCCCAGTGTGAATTCTTTGGTGTCTCATAAGGCTTGAGCTCTGACTGAAGCTCTTTCTACACTCAACCCATTTAAAGGGTTTCTCCCCTGTGTGTATTCCTTGGTGTGAAAGAAGGCATGAGTTCCAATTGAAGCCTTTTCCACACTCCAGGCACTGAAATGGTTTCTCCTCTGCGTGAATTTTAAGGTGTGACATGTCTGCTCTTTGTTCAAAGTTCCTTCCACACTCACCACATCTGCCAATTTTGTCTCCTGCAGGAGTTCTGCTATTCAGAATAAGGCTTGATTTACAAATGAAGCCATTCCCACATAGAAGGGGATCACACTGCTCCTTTCCTCTGTGCATTATGCCTTGGACTGGGATGTAACAGGGCTCACCGGCCTGAGAGACAGAAGCTTCTTTTGTCCTCTTCAATTTTGCTTCAGGTCTTGTTCTGCACTCTTTCTCCATTTCCATTCTTGTTTCCAAGGACGCCTTGTGTGTTTCTCTTTCATTCTTGCTGTTACATCCAATGCTTCCTGGAACAGGTCATAAGAAATAGAGCCTGAAACCAGAAAAACAATAATATTGATTAACTGGCATCTCCTGGAGCAGTTCCATGGCAGATGAAAAGAGGGGGCCGGCCCCATCAAGCCCTTCTTCTCCCCCGGTTGTTTCTACAAAGGATGGTTGTTGCATAAATTTTGTACCTTTAAGAAGTGGGATTTATTTTTTTCCTCTTCCCTCCCCCTTGCATTTTCCTTTTGTGCTGTTTCTATTAGAGCACAAGCATCTGTGTAGGAGCTGTCCTATTAAGCATTTACTTCATGTAAGCTGTACTGCAATCCCTTCCAGCTGCCTAGCGGGGCTGAAGTTCTGCTAAATCCATGAATCCAAAAACATCTGAGTCTGTTTCCAACTAATTGTTTTGCATTAACTAAGCAAGGGCCAGTGTTTTGTGGAGCGTGGTTTAGGTCTATCAACATGGAACCTCAGGTCTCAGGGTAAAGCCTATGCTGGCTAACCAGTATGTTACTGATTCATCCATTTTACTCCACCGTTCCCTCCCATGTAAAATGATCTAGGCGACTTGTGGTGTATCTAAACAGAAAAGCTCCAGGCTTGTAGCTCTGGTCTCCTTGTACACAGGGAAGGGCAGTGCTCTTGAGAAAAAAGAAACAAGGAATTAAGAGGTCCACAGCTCTGCGGCAAAGCCTACGGATTTGCACCCCTATTGGGCCAGGTTTGCATGCATAATACCCAGCAATTCCAGCTAAGGATCCTTAGAAGAAAAGGCTGGAAGTCTGGGAAAACAACTTTGGAAAGGAGTTGTCAATCAGAGCAATTCTCTCGCCACCCATTTTCATTTCCATTGCTGGGAAATATCAGCTACTTGGCAGCAACGCCAGCAGGGAGTGAACACCTTCATGTCTTGCATGTGGGTTTTCGGGAGGCATCCCGCTGTCCTGGGGGAAGCAAGTGCCAGATGAGATGGACCAGAGTCCCATCCACCTGGGCCCTTCTTATTTATTTGGGATATTTCTAACCCGTCCAATCACTGTGTGTCTCTGGCGGCTCTGGACTTCTTATGGCCTCAAGCGTGCTCATTTGCTTCCGCGCATCTCGCTTCCTGCCCAAGTGAGCGAAGGGGCAGCTACAGACACCCAAGACCATCCTCTGTGTTTTTTGAGAAAGGTCCGCCTACAAAAGATGTCTGCAGAAAAGACCCCAGACGCCACCCAGAAAGGAAAAGGAGGACAGCCTGCTAAAAATTAGCAACCATGTGGAAAGAGGCTACCGTGATCTTTAGCACTTGTAAACTGATTTAGCAACCATAAGAACGAAGAAGCCTTACTCAGAGAGGACAGGATGTGAGAGATCTCCTCCGTTACTTCTCTGTGCAGAACCTTTTGGTCCAGATCCAGGAGGGTCCATTCCTGCTTTGTGAAGTAGACGGTCACCTCCTCGAGGGTTACCGGAAGGGAGAAACTTCCCTGTAAGCGGAAAACTGTAGCAATCAGAAACAAATCCACATAGTTTGTGGTCACTGTATTTTTAAAAACATTTATTCATTGTGCTTCCCAACAGCCCTGTAAGGGATGTTCTTTGGATGCGTGTTAAAAACACTGCACTAAGACTGAAAGGAAACAAACCAGACAAAAAAAGCACAGAATATAATCACAATAAAAACACTTTGCAGCAAAGAATGGAACCATGACAACTCGAGAAAACCAAATTCAGACCAGCAGCTGTTATCAGAGTGCTAAAAGCACCAGAATGGTTCTGAAACTGTCTGGGAGAACAGAAAGGTCTTCACCTGATGCCAGACAGATCATAATGCAGGTAACAGGCACGGCGTTCTACAAAGCGCATTCCACAAATGGGGACCCACCACTAAAAAGTCCCCCTCTCTTGTAGCTCCCACTTTGCCCAATTGGGTGGAAGCATCTGGAGAAGGGCCTTAGATAGCCACCTTGACCTATAGTTAGGTAAATCTAGCATGGGTCATTCCATAACCCTCCGTGAAATAAATTAGGAGGGTGGCTACTCGGAGGAGGGCTTTCTCTGCGGTGGCGCCCAATCTATGGAATGCGCTCCCCAGAGAGGTCCGCCTGGCGCCGTCGTTATTTGTTTTTCGGCGCCAGGCGAAGACCTTTTTATTTAAACGTCATTTTAATTGTTAACAATATTTGCTTATTTATCTGGCCAGGGCGACTTCTTTTATATTGTTATTTATTTTATATCGTTAATTTTATATTGTTATTTTTGTATTTTATTGTATTTTATTTGTGCTGTGAGCCGCCCCGAGGCTTCGGCAAGGGGCGGCATAGAAATGTTTTAATAAATAAATACGGTAACAGGATCCCAAATGGTTAGGGCAGGGGTCCTCAGACTACAGCCTGTGGGACGGATCCGGCCCTCCATGGCCATCCATCCGGTTCACGCCGCTGTTCACTGCCCGCGCATGTGCTTGCTGCACAGGCGGGGAGGTGGCGGCTTGCTCGCTCGGAGGTGGTTTTGGACTCACTGGGAGATCTCTGAGCGGGCGCCCGATGCTGGCTCGCATGCACCTGGCGGCACCTCACCGGCCCGCGAAGGTCACCGCAGCCTTTCAACTGGCCCCCTATTCCAAAATGTTGAGGACCCCTAGTTTAGGGCTTTAGAAGTTAAAAAGAAGAAATCTGAATTGATCTCAGGTATAGAGCAATCACCGGTGCAAATGGAGAAGAACTGAAATTGTATGATCATATGGACAGTGCAGGAGTTAAATCTTTGTATGAGGCATTTCAGCATCCTAAAAAGCAGAGACAGCACCCTGCCGACAAAAGTGCGTATAGTCAAGGCTGTGGGTTTCCCAGTTGCAATGCATGGCTGTGAAAGCTGGACCATAAGGAGGGCTGAGCGCAAAAGGACTGAGGCCTTTGAATTGTGGTGCTGGAGGAGACTCCTGCGAGTCCCTTGGACTGCAAGGCGATCAAACTGGTCAGTCCTAGAGGAGATCAACCCTGACTGCTCTTTAGAAGGCCAGATCCTGAAGATGAAACTGAAATACTTGGCCACCTAATGAGAAGGAAGGACTCCCTGGGGAAGAGCCTAATGCTGGGAACAATAGATGGCAAAAGAAGAAGGGGGCGGCAGAGGATGAGGTGGCTGGATGGAGTCACTGAAGCAGTTGGCGTGAGCTTGGGTGGACACTGGGGGATGGTGGAGGACAGGAAGGCCTGGAGGAGTGTTGTCCACGGGGTCGCGATGGGTCGGACGTGACTTCGTGACTAACAAGAACAACAACGAGGCATTGATGGCCTTCTTAGTGGGAAACAGAGACAGAAGCAAAGATGATGGGAGTGAGTCTTTCAGGTTTGGTAAAGGTACCCAGGCTGCCCCCTTCTTGGTGAGATGAGAAGTAGACACGCCACGGGTCGCTTGCCCTACCCGATCCTGTCTCCCAGAAGCCGTGCTGCACACATCACAGAGGAGGGATGAGCTGGAGCTTATTTCCGGCATCCTCAGTCCCTCTCCTGCAAGGCAGAAATAAGGTGAGAGGGGTTTGGTTAACATTCCCTGTATTTCTAGTTCAAGTCAGAATTTTTGCAAAAAGGAAGCAAAAACCATATCACTTCTGTATATCAGGGAGGTACCAGTGGACCTGGTAAAACCCAAAGGCTGACAGAGGCACAGAAAAACTTAAGAAAAATGCAAAAAATAAAAAAATAAAATAAAACCTCTTTCCCAAGCCTGGAGAGAGGAAAATTGAAATCTGGGAATTTCTGGGATGTTTGATTTTTCCCTCTATGTGAATTTCTCATAAGTTGGCATGGCTGGCTGGGGAACAGTAGGAATTGTTATTTATTTTATATTGTTATTTTTATATTGTTACTATTGTATTTTTCTTCATGTTGTGAGCTGCCCCGAGGCTTCGGCGAATGGGGCGGCATAGAAATGTTTTAATAAATAAATAAATGGTAGAACCCTTTTTCTGTCTAAAGATGCATATGACAAAGTCCATTTAAAAAGCAAAATCATAGACAGGGTGTGGAAGAGAAAAGGAGAAAAGCTATTGAAAGGTCAAAATTTGTGTTAGGTTATAATAAAAATAATTATTTCTCATTTCTTTTTTTCTCAATTTCTTTCTTAATGAGTGTTCTGAATGCTGCTGACCTATTATTTTTATCATAATTTTTATATACTGCCCCATTTCCATAGACTCTGGACAGTTTATAAGAGATTGTATGAATGACTGCATCTTTCTTTTTTTTAATACTGGTGTGTCAGTCTGGGTAGATTTGGAGGATGACCTCTCTCACTTCCTAGGCTGTCCTGGAAACACCCAGCAAAGAGCATAAAGTAGAGAGACTTTCCACTCCCAGAAGGTGGTGGCAACTGGTGTTAGGGGCATATCAGGAAAACTCTCAATGGGATAACCTTTCCCGGTCAGGGCCCTGTGAATGGATCCCTAGTACATTACAATAACCTTGGCACAGCCATCACTTCCCCTGCTCTACTTCACAGGGTTGTTGTGAAGATAGGCTAAGGGAGGGAGGACCCAAGACTCGGCCACGCTGTAGCCCAGCCTATAACTAAGGGATCATAAATAAGGGCAGGGGACATTTCCACGTGGAACAAAGGCGAGAGTTTAAGCCCCTGGAAGTCTTCCTTGCATCTCCTAAGGCTTTCCTGGCGTACCTCCCCAAAGTGCCTTCCTAGCTTTCCAACCGCAGGAGCACCCACGGGGATGATGGGAATTGTAATCCAGCGCGTCGTGGCCGCGGGGGGGGGGGGCGCGCCAGGCTGGAAAGGGCTGGTTTGCAGCTTGGCCTCTTGCCCTGTTCGGGGACCTCCCACCCACTGTTCATTTCTCGGTTTGCAGGACTTGCTCAGTTCCCCCGACCCCGCAAGCTCTCCCGGATCATCCCGGGGGCGGGGGCTCACCTTGGGGGGGACGGCGCAGGCCAGCGGGCTCCCCGCGGAAGGGGGCGCCGATCTGAGCCGGGCGGGCTCGGGGCTGCGCCACCGGCTGTCCGGCCTCCTCCCGCGGCCGCCCTGCGCCGCCCCCGGCAGGATGGGGCGGCGCTGCGGCTGCGAGGCGCCCCCCCCGCCCCCCCTCTCTAGGAAGCGGGCGCCGCGCCTTTAACCCTTCCCAGGCCCCGCTGCAGGGGCCCCTCGCCAGGCCAGCCGCGCACCTGTCCGCGCACCTGGAGCGCTGCGCCCCTGCGGCGCAAGGGGGCCCTCCCGGGGCGCGGAGTGCGGGAGCCTTGCCGCGGGCCCCCGCGCATGCAGGTACCCCCAAGCAGCCCTCCCCCTGGGCTCCGGGGCGCTCCCCCTGCACCCAGCACCAGCCGGGAAACCAGGACGCTTCGCGAGCAAGGAGAGAACCAACGCTGCTAGGCTTGGCCCGCTTTCCCCAAGTGGCCCTTGCAGATCTTTTGGACTACAGTTCCCGGGATCCCGAGCCCTGATCGCTGGGGCTGCTGGTAGCTGAAGTCTTAAAAGTATCGGCGCGCGCCAGCTTGCCGCCTCCACCACCCCGTACTTCGTCTGGCGCCCATGGAAGCCTTGGAAGGAAATTTCTGCAAAACTACTCTGCCCGGGAACGGGATTAAGGCCCGCTCTCCTGCTGAGCCCAAGGGGACCTAGTTCTAAATTAGCAGGCAGGATCCCATGAAAGCTGCCAAACCAACAAGTTCAAACAAGAAAGGAGACTTCTGCTAATATGGTGCACTATCCAGACGGTGTTGCCCCTCTTAAGACTCTTCCTTGTTACAGATTTGCAAGCAAACGCTGGGCTGATCTGTCAAGGATGCCCTAATAGGGCCAAATACGAAAGCCAGGTCAAACACATGCCATCCCTTACACACAAACTCACAAAAGAGAAGTGTTAAGTTTTAATCCAATTAGTTTTAATTGTGTCCTGCAATTCTGCCAGTCTGGGGCTTTCTTACCACACCTTCAAGCACATACCTGTTGAAAAAGCAGTTTTATTCACCAGCAGCATAGTGCTACCAGGGCTTGTAAGGAAGTAGCACCAGGACCTATTTATTCTTGGCTGTAAACTTTGCAGGAGCTGAAGGAAAATGGGTATTTCCTGCAACAATAACTTACACTCTGCCCTACAACAAACTTTTTGGGGGCAACTTGGTCTTCAATGAGAAATTCAGACCTCTTAGCTTGACCGAAAACTTCCTCCCAGTGGAAGTAAAACTAGAACTAGTTTGATGATACGGATCGACAGCAAGACTCGCCTTTTCAGGACTCTCCTTGGGAGTACAGCACTACACTAGCACATTTAATGTATTATCGAGTCCAAACAATACTCATACTAAGCTTGATGGAAGTTGTAGCTGGTCCTACGAGACATATCGCCCTCTCAATGTTTTGATTTTTCTTTAAAGGGCCATCACAGTTGGAAACATTTTATACTTAGTTGGGTTTGCTTTAAAGCTGTATTTTTGCTTCCTGAAGCAATTTCTCTACTTAGAATCTGTTTTCCTACACGAGGTCTATTTCTCTAAGCAATTCACATTCAATTTTGCCTGATGTTCACGTGTTTGACAAGTCCAAGTTACATAAGCACAGACTCTGTGCTCCAAGGAGACCCAGAGACTGGCTAATTCTCTCTCCACGTCATTCATGGCTTGTCCTCTAACACGGCTTGTGTGATCAGCTCTGGAAAATTACACAAGATCCAACTACGACAAAACAAATTTCTAGATCCTCAAATACAGCATAGGGCAACCAGCCCAAGGGCCAAATTCCATTTCAGAGACACTCGGGGGCCACATTGGGGGGACATGCCCAAAAGCAAACAGGACAGCATGTTCCTACAGGTGACAGACTCAAGAGAGACATTTCAACCTATTGACCAGTGAGGAAAGCTTAAAAAAAACCCTTGAAAACCATCAAACTGCTGGAAGTAGCAGGAAAGGGAGTGGAAGGGAGCAACTCCATTGGGGAACCCAAGTAAGGTGGGCTTGGCCTGCAGACCTGAGCTGTGGCACCCCAACCTATGGTTTGGGGTTCACTCCTTGCATGATTAGAGAGGAAAAGGTCCCGTCACTCGCAGCGTTCCCCAGCCAGCAGGCCCATCTGGGGAACCCAAGAAGCTGCATTCGGACAACAGATCAAGAGTGTTGGCTGGGAACAATGGGATACGAAGGACTCTTTTCTGTCTGAAGATGCATGGCTCCATCAGCTCCCATTTTCCTCCTGTGCTTGCAGCCTGGGCTGCCTCCCGCTGGCCTTCCTGCCCAGTTGATGCCCCCCAAAAGGGCAGGAAGGGGTCACACAGATTGGGGAATACATGGACTCCATTCACTGATCTTTAACCTGCTGCTGTGGACTGCCAAGTTACCCCTTGCAACCAGGTTCACTTTTGCCTCTCAAGGCCTGAAATGACTCATCTCATGCTGGTGTGTTTAAAGTCACCAGCTACAACCACTTTGTGAATGGCTGCAATTAATAACAGGATCGTCACTGTCAGTGCTTCCCGATTTCATTCTTCTAACCCTGCTGTTTACAAAGCTTCCCTTGTCCTGCACATGCCCAGCCACACATCTGACAAAGAAACCAGAGAATCCCCAGAATACACCATGCATCTGAAGAAGTGGGCAATAGTCCAGAAAACCTCTGCCAGAATAAATGTGATCGTCTTTAAGGTGTACAAGATTTGTCATTGTTGCTTTCTCAGATTTCATAGCTGTTACTATCCTGAGACGCAGAGGTGTATCTTCTGAGGAAACCTTTTCCCGCACTCCAGGCATTTATATGGTTTCTCTCCTTTATATGGTTTTCTCTCTTTGTGACTTCGTTGATGTCTAGTCAGGTATGACTTTCGGCTGTAGGTTTTTCCACACTCCAAGCAGTTAAATGGCTTCTCTCCTGTGTGAGACCCTTGGTGAAAAGTAAGAGTTATCTTCTGCCTGAAGCTCTTTCCACACTCCAGGCATTTATACGGTCTCTCTCCCGTGTGGATTCTTTGGTGTAATGTAAGGTGTGCACTCTGACCAAAGCTTTTTCCACACTCTAAGCACTTATACGGTTTCTCCCCTGTGTGAGTTCTCTTATGAAGGTTAAGGCCTGACTTGCTACTGAAGCTTTTCCCACAGACAAGGCATTGACTCCCTTCCTTTCCATTCTCTGGTTTTTGGACTACAGGCTCAGAGACGTCAGAAGCAGGGATTTCATTCCTCCTTTTCCTGTTTGCTTCCATTTTGGTACTCTTGTCTTCCTCCTGTTTGCATGAGACCCCTTCCAAAAGTGTCCTGCAAGGTTGTCCTTCTGCTCCATTCTCTTGCACATCGCATCCTGAAGAGAAGAGAGACAAGTGCTAAGAGTTGAGAAGAGAAACAAAAATTGGCTCTGGATTAACAACACAAGGACTCGCTATGGGAAAGGGAAGGAATGGGGAGGAATATGAGGATATTTAAAGGTAAGGGACAGAAAAGGAGAAGAGAACTGGG